CCCCAAAACCCCAAAACCCCGATTTACTTAGAGTTAATAAATCTGAAGAAATAAAATAAAATCAAAGATATATAATCGAATGGCGACAACTACTTCATCTGTAGAGATTAGTGAAAATGTCTCACTGCTCATTAAGAAAATGCCTTCTAGTCATACTAATGATAATTCTCACACTCTCTATATATACTCTGTACTTGATACCTAATAATCATAGGCGTTTAGATCGAAAATAAAGAGATATCATTGGTAGATGTGACATTGGACTTCACCGAGGGTTTTCACATTCAAGTTGAAAACTCAAATGATATGAAAGTAACAGCTACTATTGGACCATAAACTACTGATACAATTGCTGTAGTTAGAGCATATGAGGATAACTGGGGCAATCCATGCAAAGTGGTGTAATTTGAATTAAATTAATAAAGATTAAGGTTGTCAAAGAGAAGTCCACCCATTGAAGATCAGAAAAATTTGATCAAGTAATAGGTGCTGTCACTAGAGAGAGAAATATTAAAGAACGAGCAATTTTGGAGAGATTTTTCATTCAGAAATGTAGACTCACAAGCAATATAAAAGAAACTATTAGAGCTCGGGGAAAACGCCAACTTCATTGATGTGCAATTCCCCCCTTAGGAGAAATCAATCTAGGAGTAAGTAAAGTGTATTTTAAATAATGATTGTAGTCCTTCAAAAGGATTGGCTTTTGACAGAGTAATTTAGTGGAGAAGGCCAAAGGAATTTATGAAATACGATACATCAAAGGGTCTGCTCGAGCCTCATATTTACTCAACTTAAAATTTCTTAAACATAAGTCAAGGCCAACTATCTGATTCGTGGTTTATCAGTGCTGCTCTCTCATTAGCAGAACGACCAGCTTTGATTGAGAGGCTATTCGTTACCAAATTATATAACGAGTTGGGAGTATACGAGTTAAGACTATGTCTAAATGGTGAATGGACTAGTGTAATCGTTGATGATTACTTCCCTTGCTTACCAAACGGTGGGCCAATCTTCTCGAAATCAAATGATAATCAACTTTGGATTTTACTTCTCCAAAAGGCATTCGCTAAAGTAAGTGGGAGCTACATGTCACTCTAATCAGGAAATCCATCAGATCTGTTTTAGGATTTGACTGGATCACCTACACTAACTTTGAATTTCAAAGAAAACAAAGTTCAAGATATGTATGTGTCTGGCAAACTATGGGATTTACTGTCTCACTTTAATGAAGAGGGATACCTAATCTCAGCTTCTTAATAAAATGATTCTGCCAATGTAGTGCATGCTGTAGTTTAATTGAGAGATGTAAGGGGACACAAATTAGTGAATGTCAGAGACCCCCTCTTGCTCTTTTAATGGACTGGTGATTGGGGTGAGACTAGCAGACTCTGGACCAAGGAAATGCTAGATGCTGTGAGCCCTAATTATGAAGTCAATCCCAATCAATTTTGGATGTCATTTGATGACTTTGCCAAATACTTTGGAACTATTTATGTTGCCAGAGTCAGAAACTGGGATGAGACTAGAGTAAGAGGAAGGTTCATCAGAGTTTAGGATCCAGAAAACTAGACTTTCGAATTCGTCTAGTCAAAGTGGCTTTATTCTCTAGATGTTAAGACTAAGACACATTTAATTGTCACATTGAATCAAGAAGATGAAAAGACTAAGGGAGTGTTGCCAAAGAGACCCTACCTAGATATGGGGTTGGTGGTGATGAAAGCTGATAAGGATGAAGGCACTCAGATAGTTCTCTTCAAGGAATATTTAGTATAGAGAAATGTTGAATGTGAATTGATCCTTGAACCTGGTCACTACATAGTTCTGCCTAAAACAACTGGGTGTGCTTTAAAAAGACCTGATCATGCTGAAATTGAGTCAATCAAATTAGTTGACCATAACAGATAGTTCACTCCACTGTTCATGTCAACATTAAAGGATTTATTCCTCAAATTTGACTTGACTGCTAATCAGAGCATTGACTGGAAGGAATTCAGTGGTTTCTTACAGATTCTTGGTCTTACTCTTTAAGATGAATTAGCATTCAAAGCCTAGATTTTAACTAAATTTCACTCATCCGAGTCAGGCTTGACTTATCAGGGCTTTATAGATTGGTGGAGATCTTAGATAGTTGCTGAAGGAGAACCATAACTCTGGGTTTGGCTTGAAAGACTTGGCTATGACAGAGATCTTTATAGTGTGAAGTCTAGAATTTTCAGCTTGACTTTCTAGAGCAGAGCATTAGAGGGAGATTAGCCAGTTAGAGTCACAGTGAGGGACACAGCAGGCACTGAAATCGAACCCAAAATAAACGAAATGCTGCTCTCACAGTTTGGTAAAGAAGAAAGAATTTAGGAATTCTACAGCTTAGTATCCCTTCAGTCTCTTGGAGCTAAAACATTCACATATGGAATAAGAAATCAGAAGTCTGTCGATATTGAGGCCACTATTGATATGAGTTTCTCTGAAAATATGAGCTTCAGTTCGAAGGCATAAGTAGTCAAGAGAGTTATCCATCCTGGTCAAGTTGCATTCATACTTCATTGCCAAGCAGGCTTTGGGAATTTCAACAGAGTTATCAAGCATTCTGCCATCGAAGTTGTTCAAGCGCCAACTAAAAAATGATTAATTTTTCTTATTTATTTTATCTTTATTAAATTTCATAAAATCTGGCACTCAGGGGTTTTGGGGTTTTGGGGTTTTGGGG